CCAGCCCGGCAGGCAGCGAGTGTGAGGGAGAGGCAGGGCGAGGGGTGGAGAGAGAAGCACCGCGGGAGGGAGGGAAGTAGGGGCGGAGGGAGGCTCCCATCACACACACCCCCCTTCTCCCGCCCCACCCTGTGGTGGGGTTTGCTGCGGGGGGACGGCCCCCGCCGCCTGCTCCCCACGGGAGAATCGTGTCAGGGGCCTCACGTATCTCTGGCACCCACCTCCGTGCTTCGTCAGTGAAAACGAAGTTGGAGGCATGATAAATTGGGAGCTTCCCCCCCTCCCCAGTCAAGGCAGATCCAGAGGGGAAGACAAGTAAAAGAGAGACCAGGGTTCTCGCTCACCTGTGGCTCTGCACACCCACTACCTGCTCAAAACAGAGTCTTTAGACACCTGGAAGTGTATGTATTTGATGGCAGTTGCAATCCACCTATGTTCCACTTCATTCAGGCTTAGGAATTTTTTGTAAGCCTCTTGCTACTTTTTCCTCTACTTCTAAATCCTTGCTCTTAAGTGACTTCAGAGTTAAATGCCACTGAGTTTTCATAATATTTATGTTCCCAGGTCATTTTTTATGCAGAGACTGATGCTTTTGAGGATGCAATTTGACTTAGTCCTATCACACAAGAAATCTGCACTTCAAGTCAGGAACATGACAAAACACACAGCCTAGCTCCTGCCAATCCCTGTGCCCCTCTTAGCATCCTCCACCATACACTTCATAGCCACTGCTACTCATGTCTCAATCTGATGCATTTATGAAACTTTTTCCTCAGTAAAGGGAAAGCTGTCAGACTTGTTCTCTATTTTGGTAGCCCTATTTAGGCATGACAAGCCAAGACCAGCAGGAGACAAGGTATTAGAGCAGATGGACCTGCAGCCATAGTACACTAGTTCATGTACTGTTTGAAATCCTGCATGACCTACAGAAAGTTTCCCTCTCCATTTGTTTATTCTACTCCAAAAGGACAGACAGAACACCCTGTAGCCAATAAAAGGATCTGACTTGCAAGAAACATCTTCCATTCCTCATCCTATGTAGGAATTTGCTGCTCCCCTGGTTTTAGTTTCATTCTGAACATGCAGCTGGAAGGTTCCTTTAGAAGCCTTGATGTTTCTCTACTGTATAAGAAAACTTGTTTGGTTTATCCTACTACCAGTTTTAATCAGGTGTTCAGCAGTGTACTGTCTTTATGTAAGATATTGATAGAGAATATGAATCATTTCCTCATAATTCTACCTTCAAGAAAGGCTTTAAAAGCATAGTAATTACATTAGGTACCTCATCTCCTTCACACTAAGGAAATGTTCGTTCTTGATAGGGAGACAACTAACTTGTGGGCAAAGGAACATAGTTATCATTTATTAGACAGTAGATCAAAGGGGTATGCTTTCTACATGTGAGAAGTTAGTTTTCTTGCCACATTATTGCTATTTACAGTAATAGAATTCCCAAAGATTATTTAATTCTCAGTTATTTAAGTATTTCTACTTAATATTCAACAAAAAGCTTAATCCCTTGGAGTTCAGGGTTCCCCACACGCACTTGACATAAGGAAAGAACATGTATGGAATGCACCGAGTAGCTTCACTTTTTTCACTGACCATATATGTCAATTCTTTCTGGACTGTCTTAAATGTACATGTCAAAACTGATACATCTGCTCTAGAATGTAGTTTGTTGAATCTTCGGAGTCAAGGAGAGTAGAGCAGCTGGAAAATTCCCCGTGTGAACTATCTACATACTGAAGTGCCTAGGATCTTTACAGAGTTAGGCCTTTTACCAATAGTTCTTAAGTTCCCAGGTACCTTTTACAAGGAACATTCCACTAACAGAAATTTTCCAAGATTAGTTTCAAGAATATAAAGGCTTCTTTGCAAAATACAGTTGACAATCTGAGACTCAGTGTGCACCGATTCTGCTACATCACAACATCTACCACAGCCTATCATCAGTATTTTATGATGTTTGTATAAAAGACACTTTAGATGCCTTGGAGAAAGGATTTCAGCAATATATAGAAGATACATACACTAACAGAGGGTATTTTTGTTTTAGAAAATGGTGTTACCAGGCCTTAATCTTTTCGTTTATGACAGCTCCTTCCGACACTGTCAGAAAAGTCAAGATTCAGAAATAACCTGTAGAGTTCCAGGTCAATAGACAGGTTGTAGAAACTCAGTAAAAATTGGCTTATGCTTCACTCTGGGAAACAGGCAGTTATGGAGACACAAGTCAATGAAAATCAGTAGTTTTTGTCACAGGACAAGCAGGATTGTTAGCTGCATTTTTATTTCAGTCACAGGTTTATTTATTTCAGTCACAGGTTTAACTGAGCATTATATTTCAGCTACTTTAAAATTTTAAGTAACAGTAGCAGAAACCAGAAAAACTTTCTAGGAATTCAAAGGATAAGATTCAGAAGTACAAATATATGTTTTTACAAACTCCCTGCTAAGCTGCAATCCTGAAGAGCCCCAGAGAAGTAAGAAGTTCTGTTGTCTTAGAACTCCTCTGCACCCGTGCATCACATTGCAGTGTGACAACCAAATTTAACAATGAAGTTTTTAATCAGTGAGTAGTTCCTGGCAGATTATATCAAAAGCATACTTATTTTCACAAGCTATTTCAAACATTCCTTTTTCGTTATATTGTTGCCTCCAAGGAGGGAGGCAGCTAAACACCCTATATACAAATATAGGACATGTTATATACAAATGCCCTATAGCTAGCTAAAAGACACAAGCCATCTCAGGAAATGGATAATGAAATAGTTAAAACTTCTATTCTCCTTAATTAGATATTCTGTAACCAATCACTCAGCTAAACCTCAAACTCCCTCCACAAAATAATAAAATAGCAACTACTTTCAATTTCAAGCTCCCTTTTGCCAACTTAAGAATTAAAGGTAAACTAAAGAAACTTCTAAGGCTACTTTAAGAAGCACCAAGGTGCTTTAGTGAGAAGCATAACATTACTGACACTAGCCAAATGATCATAAGTCAGTTACCAAAACAATTTAAGTTTGGGGAGGGTGGGGAGCATTATACTATTAAACTTCAGTGCTCAGTTTTATAAAGAGGTTGGCTACTGCCTTTTGTGGCAAGTATTGCCACTTTCACCAAAGCATATTGATCTGACTGAAGTCATAACAGTTTCTTATGTGCTATAACTGCTGTTTCTCTCATGCTTACCTCTTACAAAGTTTCCACAGAAGA